GTCAGACAAGACGGCCCACTGAGGTCCCTTCCGACCCTGGAATCTATGAATCAGAAGTCTCCCACTGTAAACATCAAACTGAAAAACTCGTTACTGTCACACACAAGTGTTTCAAATAGAATCAGACTCTCCAACTGTACTTTTTTTTTTTTTTTTTTTTTTAATACCAGAAGCGTCCTACAGAGCTGGAACACAGCAAATATGGTTATCGGCTGCCAAAATTAAATTTCCATCCGAAAACAAATTAATCTCAGAGTGGACTTCTGAGAATCCAGTCTCTAGTCTAGCTCTGCAATGGTGGATACCGAAAAAGGATTAAGAGTTCACTCTATCTCTAATAGGTAGGGGTATACTGATAGCTGATTTTTAAGGAGGCATATCGGCCAGTACCAATCTGATTTCCGATACCAGCCTGGCACCTTGGAGAGCTACATGCAGCTGATAAGTCTGTTGTGGTGGAAGGGGAGGGGGGAGGGAAGAGGCATGGTGGGGTAGATCAACACCCTGGTGGTATGGGAGAAGCGGGACTAGGGCAGGGGCTAGGGCAAGTGCTGCCCAGCTGTGGTGGGGGGTGAGGGCCTGGGAAGGAGCCACGGTTTGTCTGGGGAGGGCGTGGGGGGTGGCAGCTCCTGCTGCTGTGTGCCACTTGTCTGGAAGCCATTCATATGGGGCTTGCCTGCTTGTCTGGTGGTTCCCAGCACTGGCCCCACCACTGCTCAGGGAGGGCATGGGGGAGCGTGTGCCTCCAGATCTGCTCAGGGTGGGGCAGGCTGGGAAGAGCTCCACACAGCCCCAGGCCCAGCCTGCCACACCCTGCAGAGATCCAGAGGCACATTCCCCCCCCCACATTGGCCTCCCGGACAAATGGCAGGAGCAGCAGCGGGAGCTGCCAGACAAGCACCTCCTGGACAAGCAGTACACAACAGCAGGAGCCACTCCCACTCCCACCATGTCCCCTGGAAAAGCTGTGGCTCTGTCCCATGCCGGCTGGGCAGCACTTGCCCCATCCCCACTCCTCCCTCACCACAGGAGCCTTGATCTTCCCCATGCCACGCCCCTTCCCTCCCCTCTCCCCTTCCACCACAACAGACTTACCAGTTGCAAGCAACTCTCCAAGCTGCCGCACTGTGCTCCTTGCCGCCTACGTGCTGTGCTGCAGCTGAGCACATGCACAGGCCATTTATCGGCCAAATTATTGGCCATATCAGGCCAATTTCTGATACAGACAATTTTCTTTATATAGGTACCGATCCAATATCGGACCAATGTATTGGTGCACCTCTACTAACAGTATGATGTCCTTTAAAACCCGCTGTTCGAGCAAAGCACTAGTCTACCAACCAATACTCTCTGGGTGTATTTTGAGACATATCTCTTTATTCCAGTGACTGAATTGTGACGCGTTTCACCCATATGCCACACAGAGCCAATTGAACTCCGAAGAGCAATCCAGTTATGGATTCCATTCTAGATGGCTCATCGTTAACAGAATCATACCAATGCATGAACCAGAATGAACCTAGCCCGACTGTCAGAGCTGCAGCTGAGTTAGCAGTGTGCCCAGTTAGGGAACAATGAAAACAAACGTACAAAAAAAAATAATCAACAAGTGATTTCACTAGAAAGTTGTGATTTCTAAAGCTGAAAATATAAACATGGAGTCCCACAAGACTATTCTTCAGAGCAGAATAAATAGTTATTTTCAAAAATCCCCTATTATTTTGGTAACATGCCCACTTACGTATGTCAATGCTGAAACTACTCAAGAACAAGGTTGCGCATGATCTTCAGTAGCAGCTGTTAAGTGGTAAGCTTCCATAAGTTCAATAAATGGAAAGATCAATAAGTTAAAATGCAGACCAACACAGGAGGAAATATCCTCTCTCTTCCCAGTGACCACAAGACTCCCTTGTTGCTTTAAAAGGCAAAGAAAAGTTTACACAATCCTTTTCTTTAGACCAGAGGTTGTCAACTAGAGGTACGTGTACCCCTGGGGGTACCTGGGAAGGCCCTAGGGTATACGTGTGGGTGGGCAGGGTCGGAGCACCACCACCCAGTGCCACCGCCTCCCAGAAGCAGGGCTTGATGTCAGGGTGAGGGCAGCAGCACCCCTCTGCAGGCTGCATAGGCACCACCCAGCCAGCTGGACGCAGGAGGTAGGAGGGAAGCTTGTATGCAGCTCATACGCACCCACCACCCTGTGCTGCAGCTGCTCTGTGCCCAGCCATGCCCCCCACCTCCGCTCCGTGTCCAGCTGCCAGAGGTACACTTATTAAAAACGGTTGAAAACCCCTGCTCTAGACCAGTGGTTCTCAACTCGCATACAGCCCAATGTGGCCCAAGTGACATCCTGTTAAAACATTTTTTAAATGGATACACAGGGCCTAAGTTACATGGATGCAGCCCACATACCGCACTGAGAGCTGCAAGTGTGGCCTACTATGGCAAACAGGTTGAGAACCTCTGATCTAGACTGTCTCAAAACAGAAACTATACTGGCAGCAGCTGGACAAGCAGCATCTTTTGCTGTTTTACTTTTGTGATCATGGGTGTCATTACAGGATGTCTTCCTGCTACGTTCTAGGGAGCAAGCTGATGTGGGAAAAGAGGAGGGGGAGCTGGAGGCCTCTTAAGTGAAAGGCACCTTGAGTAAATAGGCAGCTGGAAATGGAATACAAGGAGGAGTTATCCAACTGCAAAATGAACCATGGGATTTCTGTCTACTTCTTAGAAGGCAAACATTCACCTAGCACCAGTTCTCCCTTTTCTTAAGAGTCTCATCAAAAATGCCCAGAACTGAAGCAGTTCTGGAGGCTCTGCTAGTCCTTAACTCAGTGATTCTCAGCCAAGGTGTAGCAACACTCCTGGGGGCCACATGATCCTTTTAAAGATCCAGTAGGACACTGCACAATAGCTTGTTAGGCACCTGAGGGATTCACAAGATAAGCCAGAGACTTCATAGTGTCAGAGACATCCGGACCTGCTGGGGCCTTTCTGAGCCCTTTGCAACACAAGCATTGCTCTATTATTTGTCCAGAGCCACAAAACAAAGGTGAGCCAAGAGCTGGCATTTTCCAGGGGGCATCTTGAGCCTCAAGACATCTAGAAAGTTTGTGAACTGCTGCCTTCATTCTTAGCTCCCAGGTCAAGGCTAAAGGCATGTTCACGTAGGAACAGAGAGGCCTGCACTGCAGGGCCCTGTGGCTTGGGTTTTTATGGGGAACAAGAGGATTTCCAACCTGTTGACCCCACATGGGTGGCAGCAACGCCTGCTGGCAGCAGAAAAAAGCATCACCAGGGTCCGAGCCAGTGTTGCCAAGTGTACAATAATTATCATATTTGTATCATAATTTCAACCCATGTACAATCAATACTGTAACAGTAAGTGTTCAAAACGTACAACCATTTTTGAGGCAGCTAATTGATGCATTATATGTAAAACCCAAGTCACTCTCAGGGAGTCTTAACTGACTTTTGGGTTTTTTGTTTAAAAAAAAAAAAAAAAAAAAAAAAAAAAAAAATTCATGTTCCAGGTCAAATTAGCCAAATCAGTTCCAAATCAGATCAACTGAGCAGAACTCAGTCATTCTAAACACTGCGTGGTGCTACAATCGGCAAGCATCTTCCATCCCAGACCTATCAGCCTGGGACTTCAGATCCTCCCAAATCCATTGGCAGGCATCGTCTGTGCAGGCCCAAACCAGGAGGTCTTGGGGCTTGGATGCCCCTAGGTACTTCACATACTCAGGGTTCAAATGGGTTTTTGGTTGTAGCTGTGTCGGTCTTTAGAGATCTCAGACCAGCAGAGACTCCCTATGCCTGAAGAAGGATGACTGCGCTCAAAAGTTTGTCAAGAAGTTTTTCCAAATTACTCGGTGGGCTTATAAAAAATATTACATCTACTCAAAGAACCTTGCCAGGGTTTGAATTTTTTTTTAAATTTAATTTCTATCAGATGCCAAATTAGCCAGAACTCATTCCAAATTCAAGAGTCCAGAACCATAAGTGGCCCTACTATCGGCAAACATCCTCCACCCCCACCTGAGGCTTCAGATGTTTCCAAAACTTTTGGCAGGCATCCTACTTGTAGGTCCAGGCCCAGAGATTTGGGGTTCAGATGCCCCCAAGTTCTCCTTGTCCTTAGCCATAAGGTCCTCAAAACAAGCTGGGGAGAAGACTCCCATTTCCATAAACTGGGCTTAAAGTCGCTGCTCCTCGGCCGGTACCGAACCACGTCAGAAGAGCAGGTCTCCTGCGAGGCAGTTCAGGAAAACTGCCTTCGTAGACACAGACACATGGTATTTCCCCTGCCAGGGTAAGAAGCCACTACGCTTGCCCTGAGCTTTCAAAAGGCTGGTTTGAATTACACTTTGACTCTTGAGGGGAGTTTAAACCAGTTCATTGATTAACAAATCCAATCAGAGACCTCCCCCCACCCGGTATGCTTTTCAAGTCTTATGGGGGGCTCTCATCTCTTATGGGGGCTCAGCACCCCAAGCTGCCCCGTAATACAGACCCTGCAGATACTCCCTACGCTCTACCTTTGCCCACAAACAGGTTTGCGGTCAGCACATTCTTATGACTAATGGCCTAAAAGCAAAGAAATGCTTCGACTTCGCAGACCCAGGTCACTCTCACTCACTGGCGACGAACAGCGAGCAACAGAAAGCAAGTAAGCCGACTCGCTCTTATACTTATTTGCGCATTTCTTTCAGCCTACGGTAGTTTTTCAGGCGACAGTTCTGAGTTGCCAAGACAAGCACGTCACATTTAAGACCTGGCAACGCGGGCCTGAGCAGGGCACCGGGCGCAGGGCCGGGCCCCGCGCGGAGCAAACCCTCCCCCAGGGCGGCGGCGGGCCCTGGCGCAGAGGAGCCCGAAGCGGCTGCGAACCGGGCCCCTCAGCTAGCGGGTTGGGTGCGGGAGGCTGTAGGCCCCGCCGGCCTCCCAGCGCGGGGTGGGGAAGGGTAAGGGTGTGGGTGATGCATGTGCCGCCTCACCAGCTGGGCGCCCGGCCCCGCCATCGCGGCCCGGTCGGAGGGGGAAGTTGTCCGTTGCCAGGGCGACCGGCTGACCCGGAAGAGCTCCGTGGGGGCGGGAGCTGCGGGTCGCGCGGCGGCCGCCGGGAAGGCCCCACCCTCCAGGTCGTGCGGGGTCACTCCCGTCGTCAGACCGAGGCTGCGCGGCCCTCGCGGGGCAAACCGCCTGTGGGCCTGTGCTGACCCCGTGGGGCTCGGCCCGGAGGGTGGGTGGGGCGGCAGGCGCTGGCAGTGGTGCCAGGTGGACAGCAGGGAGCCGGGTGTAGGATGCTTTCCACCCTTGTACAGTCACTAGCAAAAAATGTTCAAGCCTTTCCGAGGCAGGTCGCTGATGCATCCGTGCAGAGGCCAGCGCCAGGCTCAGGCAGGCGCTTCGGTAGATGCTGTGATCTCTTTTATTAGACGGTAATCCCCCAGGAAGGCTCAACTGACTTTTAGGGCTGCTGTCAGCACTTTCTTACAACTGCTTACCTCAAAATAGGAATATATTTTTAAAGTTTATACATTTCATTTTCCAGGTCAGATTAGCCCAGTAGGTCCCAAACCCCATCCATGGAGCAGGCAGAACGCTCTCGGGCGACGGAGGGTGGAGGGGACTATGATTAGCGAGCACCCTCCATCCCAGACCTCTCACCCTGGGATTTCACATCCTCCCAACTCCATTGGTAGGCCCAAGCCTGGAGGTCTTGGGATTTGGATGCCCCCAGATACAAGAGGCAACATCATCCATTCCAGACTATTTAGTTCAGCACTTCAGATTTTTATTTTTGATTTGTATCCCAGGCCAAAATTAGCCATTAACTAATTCCAAATCCAAGACTCCAGAACCATAAATGGCCCCACCCCCAGCAAACATCTTGCACGTGCAGCTAGGGCATCAGATGTTTCCAAAACCTTTGGCAGGCATGCTACTTGCAGGCTTAAGCCTGGAGGCTTGGGGTTCAGGTGCCCAGAGTCTTGCTTGTCCTTAGCCATAAGCCCTTAGCAAGCAAGGGAGAAGACTCCTATTTTCATAAACTGGGCTTAAAGCTGCTGCACCTCGGCAGGTACTGAACTATGCCAGAAGAGCAGGTATCCTGCCGTGTGATTCAGAAAAACTGCCTTCTTGCACAGATGCATAGTATTTCACCTCCCAGGCCAAGATGTCACCATGCTTGATCTGAGCCGCCAAGAGGCTGAGAAGAACTTCGGATACTCCCTACACTCAATCGTAGCCCAAAAGAGGCCTCAAAATAAAATAAAAAAAATGCTTCAACTTTGATGACCCAGTTGTCATTCACTCACTGGGTCAGTTAGTTACAGTGAGCAATATAAGTAAGAAAGACTTATTTGCATACTTTTTTTCACTGTATAAGTTTTTCAGCCAATGAGACCAGGTTCTCTGGGTGAATCTGATATCTTTTATTAGACCAACTTAAATAATTGGAAAACAATTTTTAAGCAAGCTTTCAGGTTCAAAACCCCCTTGTCAGGCTAAGGAAATTCCTGCAGTTGGTGTGTGCTCTTCCTGGATGGAATAAATTAAAATGAAATGGCTTCTTTACTTTTCATTCCATCCAAGAAGAGTGCGCACCAACTGCAGAAACTTCCTTAGCCTGACAAAGGGGTTTTGAACCTGAAAGCTTGCTTAAAAATTGTTTTCCAATTATTTAAGTTGGTCTAATAAAAGATATCAGATTCACCCAGAGACCCTTGTCTGCCTATGTGCTTAGACCAACATGGCTACAACCTACACCTCAGTAAACAATTTTGAGCTTCCACTATGATCATTTCGTATTTAAGACCTGGCAACACCAAGCACTCCCCTCCTCATGGCAGGTGCCAGAGGGATCCACTACAAACACACACCTCAGCTACTGAAATAACAAAATAAAAGTTTATTAGACTCAGGAATGCTCCCCCTCCCAGGGTCCCCTCTGCACAGCCCAGGCCCACACTTACAACGCAATTGCCTCCGAATGTGGATTTGTCACAACACGCAGTGGTCTCTCCCTGGAGAACTAGAAGGTCAAGGAACAAACTCCATATCCTGCCTCCCCTCCCTCTCTCTCATCCTCCCTCTCAGGCACAGGAGCCCAAGCCCGCCATTAAAACAATGGAGCTTTACTTTGGTCTCCAGACAACTGTGATGTAAAAGTTCCAGTTGTGATAGAACAGACTAAAATTAAGGGTTTCAAACATCAGAGCTAGTTACAGATCTGTAAAGCACAGAAACAAAAAACGGCAGCAGGTTGACAGGGGGAGTCTGAGGATGAGCTGCTATAGCCTAGCACTAAAAGGCAGATACCCCTTCACTGGCTTCATCTTGCTATTCATAGGTCTAGTTGTTACTTTGCACAGCTGAAGTCAGGCAGCCAGTCAGTGCATCTTATTTGTTAAAATTTGCTCTTCAAAAAAAGTGTGGGGGGGGGGGGAGGGGGGGGCACTACCTGATAGGACCAATCAAAAGTGCCTTAGTGGGAAGGAGGTCTTTGTAGAAGGAACATAAACAGGGAAAATTCTTGTGAGAGAACTCAAAAGTTGGACTAAAAGGAAAAAGTGACAGATTGCCCAGCAGAACTATTAGCAGCACAGTGATTTTAAATCAGTATTTTAAATGGAGGCCCATGTACAGCCATCAAGATCCAGGAAAGGACACCAGACAGGTTCCCGGTCACAACTGGATCTACAAGGATGTGCTTGGACTCTCAGCTCCCAGAACAGTCAGCAAAAATAAGACAAAAACCTCACTGCTGGAAATTTAAGTGGAATATTCTGTTTCAGTGACCCACATCCACCCCTGTTCATCCATGCACCCAGCCCTGCCAGTCATTCCCCTGAAATCAGCTCCAGGTGGAGACGCTATCTTAGAAAGCATTTTTATTTAAATTTTGAACTGGAAATACACATTTTGGGTGTGAAGCTTTCCAAGAGCCAATCAGTGAAGCCTGGGCGGCATAGAGCTGCTAATATACAGCAGGGAAAGGTAAAGGGAGGCCGGACAGTTTCAAGGTTTGGGTAATGTCTAAGTTGTGGCTTGTCCACATTAAATCAGAGCAGAGCCCTTCACTATATACACGTGAACCCTCATTACTTTCTCTCCACCCAGGAACAGCCTCATAAAGAAAAGTGCACAGAATACAAATTATGAGGGTGGGCGCATTCATTCTGCTCCAACATCATGGTAAGAGGGTTTGACACAAACAAAACCTTTTGGGGGAAATAAAGATGTGTAAAGGGTGTGGAGGCACACAGCATTTACTGACAGTAGCTCCAAATGCAAGAGGCTCAAGTGACCAAGAAGATTTCAGCTGAGGCTGGTGTTTCATATTAAGGATCATATTAACCTGCCTCCATTATTCACCCCTCTATTTTCTCCCCTTGAACCTCAGTTCAGGTTAATCAGGAATGTTCTTAGAACACTAGCCTGGTGAAAAATACCACAGAAGGAAGTCCTATACAGGAGAAATTTAATAAAACCACCACCAATTAATTACTTTAACATAGCTCTTGTTACAGAAATCATAAAAATGGATTCAATAGCTAAAATTCATTAGTTCTTCCCCCTTTTCATTGAAAAATGGCTCACTGATTTCAATTTCTACTGTACTAGATGGAGTGTTAAATATCTGCCAGGACAGTTTGCCCAGTAATTGAACCCAATACAAACACAAGGACAATTCCACCATCTTCCTTTTCAATGTCACGATTTGTTATAATGCAAGTGAAAACAGCAAGGAACGTTCCATCTGACAGCTGCAACTGGAAGGGAGAAGAGATCCACACAGTTGAAATCTTTAGATGCTCTTTGACAAGTCCTGTAAAAACACCCCCCCTTCCTTTCCATCATTAAAAATTCCTAAATATACACTTCCTATAGGTTTGACCTTCAAGCTAGGAGCACAGCGCATGTCCTAGGTGCATGGGAACAGCTAGGTTTGATTTGGGCAGATAAAGTGGTGTCATTCTGGGCTAAAAAGAAGAAAGGCAAAGCATTCTGAATCACGAGGTACATTCATCTCTAATGAAACACACACCAGGTTAAATCAGTTTGTGAGAAGCTGGAAGGGAAGGGATGGTTCTGTTGCCAGCAATGGAAACATATAAACCATGGAGGCCAAGGACAAAAAAAGAGCTGCACGAACAGGAGAAACCCAACTTCTCTGATAAAAACCTTCGACAGTCACTAACGCCAGCACACGCTCCCCCCACCCGTCCCAGGGAAGGAAAAAAAAAAAAAAATCAAACTGAAAGAAAATGCACAGCAAATAGACATAATCTTGAAGATTTTTAAA